GGGGGGGGGGGGGGGGGGGGGGGGGGGGCACGGAGGAGGAAAGTCTGCACAACTGGCGGACCAACTACAAGATTCAGTAGTTTTTTCTGGCGGGATAATTTGTGCAAAAATGCTAGTCCAGTCTGCAGGGTCCCCGGACATGCCGCGAAGAAGACTCGTGGCAAGGATTTGTCCTCCAGATCGAGAGCACTTGCGAAAGAAGGCGCGACACCCCTACTACGTGTGCCTCCAGCTGATGGTCCCTCCTGGCTGATATATATGCAAGCTTTTTAGGGAGGGGAGAGAGAGAGAGAGAGAGCTCGCCCCGCGCGTCACTCACTCTGGCAATAATCTTCGTGCGCTACACTCGTCGTAAGCTATCGTAGCTCTCTCACGATGATAATTTTCTCACCAACTTTACGCCGGACATGCGTCCGCCGCTTGTCTCTCTTGCTGCGGGGTGGCGTGGACGCGGAATAACGAAAACGGCTGGTGGTGGGCACACAATGTTTCGGATGGACGGACGGACGCATTGGAGCAGGATGTTGTGCTGCTGTGGCACAACGGGGGGGTGCGGGCGGCCTACGGGGAGCGGCATCGGTACTGGCTGCTGGACGCGGCAGCTTACTACTTCGACAACGTAGAAAGGTATGCGTATACGTCCGCTGGAACCACGTCTACGTGTCGGCGGAGGGGTCGTGTAGGCATCGTTGATGTAGGTCGACCCCGCGAGAGACGGTGGCATAAGATGGGATGGCGAAAAGACTCACATGGAGCAAAGCCTTCGAACAAGCTCTTGTGGAGTTGCTCGGTCTCTTGTCACTGGTGGGGAGATCTGCTATGCAACAGGTCGGCATTGCGGCGCGTAGTCGCGCATGGGATGTTCGAAGCGCAGTATCTCGAAAGCTCACGTGGGACACGAGCAGATTTGGTGCGGAACAACGGTGTGTCTTTTCGGAAAGATTTTTTTTCTCAGCGACACGTTCCCGGCGCGACTAGCGTGTTCGCACACCTGGCGGGGATAATGAGCTCCGAGAATCACCACGGAGGAGGTTGCTGTGGCATCTTGTTGAGTACGTGGACGGTCTTGCCCATATGAGAAAAGTTGTCTCGTTTTCCCCTCGAAACGTCGACGTGGGGGCAGTTCCGTATCAACAGAACATGAGTCCTCTTTCTCCCCCCCCCCCCCCCCATCTACATCCATGGGTGGTGGCGTTATTCTGAAACTCGCTATTTTCGGGAGTACGTTACGTGCCCTATATATGCCAAAAGGTTGTGAACAGTTATTTTTTGTCTGAACTGAGGCGAAGACGGCAAGATGCGAGACACATGTGCCAGCATGCTGATGGATACCGCAGCAGCAGATACATCGCCGGGGGGGAAACGCGGTTCATGAGAGAAGCGGACGACCTACATATTTTCTTGTTCCGGTCAACCGAAGGACCAAACAATCCAAAAGAGCGAACAAGTAGTGACGCACGTGTACATACCAATACATGTCTTTTTTTTTCGTTTCTTCACGCCCGCGCCCTCCTTCTTGGGCTTTGGTTCGCGTTGCTGCTGCTGCTGCTTGTTGCTGCTGGGAGAGCAGGTTCGGTTCGGAATCGTTCGCTCCGAACGAAGAAGACATGCTCAT